TAAGAATATAATATAATGAGTCATTGATAATCATTGTGATGTTATTGATGTGTTATTTTTAATATTTGATTATTAAATTGTCACTTTAGAGTGCTAATTATTTCCTAAAATATGAATGTCAATCTTTAGTTGGGACTTCCAAAAAAGAAAAATGAGAACCTTAAAAATGTGAAAGAGTGAGTATGATATTATTTTTCACATAATAGTTGTAAGCAATGTAAAGATAATGAATTAATGATAGTGACCGTCTATTTATAAACAGTTAGAAGTTGAATAGATTTTCTTCTACCCTTTCAAATGCTTATAAATGTTGTATATACATGTGTGTGTCTATGTTGTATTTTGTGCACTTTAGATAATACTGTATATGAATGGTGAGTAGAATTTGCTTTAGTGTTGACACATGCCAAATTTTTTAATAAAGAGTATTGTCACATGTCAACAATTTCTCCAAAGAGTTTTCTATGATTTGATTTATTATATTATATAGATGTCGGGACCATATATTCAATATTGAGCCTAACCCGTAAATTTATGTTTCAGCATATGACATTATGTTAGCCTATTGATTCTCTTTGTGTACATAGAGAATGCATTGTAAATCCTACTTTAACATTCCCACATGATTATAACATGCAATATTCTTCTTTTTAGCTCATAATTTGTTTAAAATATGTGTCTCTGATCCCTAAGATCTATGAGTACACATGTCTATAAAGTGAAAAATTTATGGAACCCTATATGACTTTACTATGCCTGAAGTCGTATAGCCTACGCAGTATCCTAATAGTCATTCATTTTTAAAGTCAATATTAAGTGGAGAGCTTAATTACTTTAAGAAATGAATGATTGTGATGACACCACACATTGTATAGGACTCCATAAAATTTCCCTTCTTCAAATTACATGTATGTTTTTAGTGAGAGATTCATTTTCCCGTGCCATGTAGATTGCCACGTTGATAGGCATATTTGGATTACCATATAAGAGTAGCAAACACTACATGCCGCTATTTTGGTAGTATGACTCCAAAAAGCTCATTCCATCTCTTTAAGATGTGACTCTAGAGATTTTATCTATAGCATATGTGCATACGGAGTATTTTGCTATACTTTTCAATTAGAATAATTGGTGGATGGGAACTATGTTTTGAATTGGAAAATCGAAAAGATTGTGCATATAATTGTCATAATTAAAACCTAAAAAATTGTAATCAAATTTAAAAGTCTCATTTATTACGGACATGATGTTTTATTAATACTCCTATTTAATACGGAGTATAAAAATTAAGCATATTGAAGTTTAAATAAAAACTTAAAAAAGTGGTGGCATTGCATATCCATTTAGTATTATTGTTTCAACTTTTATGCTGCTAACATTATCAATGAAAAATGTTAAATAGACTCACGGCAACAACGTAAAAAAGACTCGGTAAATACGTATATGAATTCAAGAGATAAAATATTGTACATAGAATTATGTTTAATAACTTATACTCCGTACATTTCAATATCAATTGGTGTTGGGTCGGGCCGGGTATCGGGTCGTGCCGTCCCAGTCCACCCCTATTCTTATTATTACTCCGTATTATTACTACTATATTATTTTGTTTTACATTATTTTAAAATAATAATAATAATAGTTACTTAAAATTTAAAACTCACGAGTCCAATTAAACTGGGCCTACGATACAACAACCAAGCTCCAATCAAGCAAGAATAAAATAGCAGGCCTCATAAAGAACCAACCAGCAAAGCCATCACAATTTACAAAGCACTACGAGCCCTAGGAATATATAACCCCTTGGAGTCTTGTCTGGAAGCTATGGTTTCTGCATCCACGAAGCAATGGTAAACCCCTATGTTGTATTGTTGTGCACTTTAGATAATGCTATATATGAAGAGGGAGTAGAATTTGTTACTCCGTATATTGTTGACACGTGTCAAATTTTCTAATAAAGACTGTTGTCACATGTCAACAATTTCTCGAGAGATGTCTCTAGGTTTGCTTTATTATATTATATAGATGCCGGGACCATATATTCAGTATTGAGCCTAGCCCGTAAATTTATGTTTCGGCATATGACATTATGTTAACCTAGTGATTCTCTTTGTATACATAGAGAATGCATTGTAAATCCTACTTTAACATTCCCACATGATTTTAACATGCAATATTCATCTTTTTAGCTCATAATCTCTTTAAAATATGTGTCTCTAATACCTAAGATCTATGAGTACACATGTCTTTAAAGTGAAAAATTTATGGAACCCTATATGACTTCACTATGCCTGGAGTCGTATAGCCTACACAGTATCCTAATAGTCATTCATTTTTAAAGTCAATATTAAGTGGAGAGCTTAATTAGTTTAAGAAATGAATGATTGTGATGACACCACACATCGTATAGGACTCCATAAAATTTCCCTTCTTCAAATTACATGTATGTTTTTAGTGAGAGATACATTTTTCCCGTGCCATGTAGATTGCCACGTTGATAGGCATATTTGGATTACCATATCAGAGTAGCAAACACTACATGCCCCTATTTACATCTTGCATACGTTTACAATTGCTCATTTTGTTTAGGTAGTATGACTCCAAAAAGCCCATTCCATCTCCTTAAGATGTGACTCTACAGATTTTATCCGTAGCATATGTACATATTTTGCTATACTTTTCAATTAGAATAATTTGGTGGATGGCAACTATGCTTTGAATTGGAAAATCCAAAAGATTGTGCATATAATTGTGATAATTAAAACCTAAAAACTGTAATCAAATTTAAAAGTCTCATTTATTACGGACATGAAGTTTTATTAACACTCCTATATAATACAAAAATTAAGTATATTGAAGTTTAAATAAAAACTAAAAAAGTGGTGGCATTGCATATCCGTTTAGTATTATTATTACAACTTTTATGCTGCTAAAATTATCAATGAAAAATGTTAAATAGACTCGGCAAATACGTATAAAAAAAGACTCGGTAAATACGTATATCAATTCAGAAGATAAAATATTGTACATATAGTATGTTTGATAATTTATACTACGTAATTTCAATATCAATTAGTACTGGGTCGGGCCAGATATCGGGTCGGACTGTCCCATCCCAGTCCACCCTTATTCCTATTATTACTCTGTATTATTACTACAGAGTATATTATTATTGTTTTACATTATTTTATTATAATAATAATAGTTACCTAAAATTTAAAACTCATGAGTCCAATTAAACTGGGCCTACGATACAACACTTTAGATAATGCTATATATGAACGGGGAGTAGAATTTGTTACTCCGTATATTGTTGACACATGTCAAATTTTCTAATAAAGAATGTTGTCACATGTCAACAATTTCTCGAGCGAGGTCTCTAGGGTTTGCTTTATTATATTATATAGATGTCGGGACCATATATTCAATATTGAGGCTAACCCGTAAATTTATATTTCGGCATATGACATTATGTTAGCCTATTGATTCTCTTTGTATACATAGAGAATGCATTGTAAATCCTACTTTAACATTCCCACATGATTTTAACATGCAATATTCTTCTTTTTAGCTCATAATCTCTGTAAAATATGTGTCTCTGATACCTAAGATCTATGAGTACACATGTCTTTAAAGTGAAAAATTAATGGAACCCTATATGACTTCACTATGCCTGGAGTCGTATAGCCTACACAGTATCCTAATAGTCATTCATTTTTAAAGTCAATATTAAGTGGAGAGCTTAATTAGTTTAAGAAATGAATGATTGTGATGACACCACACATTGTATAGGACTCCATAAAATTTCCCTTCTTCAAATTACATGTATGTTTTTAGTGAGACATACATTTTTCCCGTGCCATGTAGATTGCGACGTTGATAGACATATTTGAATTACCATATCAGAGTAGCAAACACTACATGCCCCTAATTACATCTTGCATACGTTTACAATTGCTCATTTTGTTTTGGTAGTATGACTCCAAAAAGTTCATTCCATCTCTTTAAGATGTGACTCTACAGATTTATCTGTAGCATATGTACATATTTTGCTATACTTTTCAATTAGAATAATTTGGTGGATGGCAACTATGTTTTGAATTGGAAAATCCAAAAGATTGTGCATATAATTGTGATAATTAAAACCTAAAAATTGTAATCAAATTTAAAAGACTCATTTATTAAGGACATATGTTTTATTAACACTCCTATCTAATACAAAAGTTAAGTATATAGAAGTGTAAATAAAAACTAAAAAAAGTGGTGGCATTGCATATCCGTTTAGTATTATTATTACAACTTTTATGCTGCCAAAATTATCAATGAAAAATGTTAAATAGACTCGGCAAATACGTTAAAAAAAGACTTGGTAAATACGTATATCAATTCAGGAGATAAAATATTGTACATATAGTATGTTTGATAATTTATACTCCGTAATTTCAATATCAATTAGTACTGGGTCGGGCCGGATATCGGGTCGGACTGTCCCATCCCTGTCCACCCCTATTCTTATTATTACTTTGTATTATATTATTACTACGGAGTATATTATTATTGTTTTACATTATTTTATAATAATAATAATAATAGTTACTTAAAATTTAAAACTCATGAGTCCAATTCAGGCCTCACAAAGAACCAACCAGCAAAGCTCCCGCAATGAGTTTTTCTTCTTTTAGTCCTTCGACTATTATGTCATTGACTAATAATCCTTGACTATTGTACTAAAGACACTTTTGGTACCCGTCTTTGAAAACTTTCATATTTAGTCCTTCAACTTTCATAAAATGACACTTTTAGTCCTTCAACTATTATAATAGGGACATTTTTAGCCCTTCACTTATTGTATCAAAATCATAATGAGAGAACTAAAAGTGTCAATTCAACAATACTCAAGGATTAAATGTGAGAAACTTGAAATTAGGACTAAATTTGTTTCTAGCACAATAGTCGAGGACTAAAAATGAAAAAATTAGAAGTAGAATAACAAAATTGTCAAATAGTAGGGGACCAAAATCCGCCTGCAATTTACAAAGCATTATTACGAACCCTCGGAATATATAACCCTACTGGAAAGCTAGGTTTCTGCATCCAGGAAGCAATGGTAAACCTCTTCTCTGCATTAACATTGCTAATGTTTTGATTACGTATAGGATCGGATCTGACTGTCTTATGATGATGAAATGTACAGGGGAAGGGAACAGGGAGTTTCGGGAAGAGGAGGAACAAGACTCACACTCTCTGCGTGAGGTGTGGCCGCCGGAGCTTCCATCTGCAGAAGAGCCGATGCTCCGCCTGTGCTTACCCTGCTGCCCGCACGAGAAAGTGTAAGTCTTCCTATACGTTTCTATTAATATGGCTGTCTTGCAGATTTTTGTTCAATTATTTCATTAATCGGTGGTAAAATCGTTCATTAAATCTGATATCTTCTTTAAATGTATGCTTTAGACAATTGGAGTGCGAAGGCGATCCGTAGAAAGACCACCGGAACTGGCCGCATGAGGTATCTCCTTAATGTTCCCCGCCGTTTCAAGAGCAACTTCAGAGAAGGTGTGTTTGATAATCATCTTAATTTGAATTCCAGAATTCCACTTTCTATTTATTTTGCTGATGGATTTAAAATTATTATAATGTATTAGGTACTCAAGCAGCTCCAAGGAACAAGGGTGCAGCATTGTCCTCTTGAGAGATCAAAAGTCTTTTGAGTTGGAATTTTGTGAGGGTAGGTTATATTGTATAATTTCGTTTTGTTATTTTGAAGTATTAGAACAATTTAAATTTTGGTGAATCTAATTATTCCCAAGCTACTTCAAAGACTTGATTTCTGAGTTGATTGCTGATTAATGAATGAAAACCCCTATTTAGCATTTCAATTGCTTCAATCTCTTGTGTTCATAATGTGTGTTTTGGACCAATGATGTATAGATTTTTATGTCGGAAGCCCCTTCATTAGTTTTGCTTGATCATATGATCTGTTAATCTGTTTCTGTTATATAGTAGACGTGAATGGTAGTGTGCACCAGATCTTTTTTCTCATTCAGTATTAACCATTGAAGCTGAGATTTTTCTCAGTAGTGTTGCCTTCTCAGGGTCTTTTATGTTTTATTATACTAGTGGTGTTAGGTTGGATTGTCAAATTCCAGCTTGAATACTACATATTGTTATAATATGTACAACCTTAAGGGGTGAACTCTTTGGGTAAAGAGAGATTTCCTTGGTAATATTTAGAATGTGAGTCGCATCACCTTTAGTATGTGTTTGAGTGTTTCAAGATGTTTTAAGGAAAAAGTCTGATAATGACTTGTTTTGTTTGTAATATTGGTTTTCTCAGTGTGTGTATTTCCATATTGATGGTTTGTTTCAATAACAAAATTTCGATGTTGTTGGATAGTTGATTTATTCAACCCTAAAATATGGATAAAATCCTGAGTAATTTAGTGTGGAAAAGGTTGATGGATGGATGGATGGGTTGATGGACCATATCCCACCAGACTCATTGCCATCCCTACACCAGGAAGGTGTTTCTAAAAGATCTTCAAATTTAAGTGAAATGGATTCTTGTAAACTTCTGCAACGCAATTAAACAACTCTAGGGTCGTTTATCGACTTATTTTCTGTTGTTCAAGGTGCACTGTACACTTCGTAATGATGTCATTTTGGCTCACACCAAAATCTACAAGTGCCCTAATGTCCTTTACTTGAGACGATTCTGGAAAACCCACTTTGAATCTTGAATTTTTGCATTTTCTTGAGGCACTGTTGTAGTAGTTCTATGAATTACTAGTCATAAAGTTGTGACTTTAAGAATGTAAGATCACTCCAGTTTTCGTATGATGGACCCCTTTGACTTTTTCTTTATTTTTGCTCACTTTTATTATATTTCTAGCTTTCAATTAGGATTTATGTTTCTGTAGACAAGCAAAGTCTGTTCCATAACCATCAATTTTAATTGGTTAAAAGCCTGATCTAGTAGTCTACTATACTACCGCATAAAATTACTGCTTTTGGAAGTCCTGAATTAGTTCAAAATCAGACACTGTCCGCCCTTATATGCAAGTAGAACTGCAGAACCCACTCTACAGAGATTCAACTAACTTGTCTCTTACGATTAGATGTGGATCCTGACTAGTGTTGAAACTCAGCAAATAAATAGTCAGACCTGTTGATATGATTTCTTTTTCTGGACTGAAACTGGTTTCAACATGTTCCAGTTCCAGTTCCAAGTCTCTTAAAAACAGGACCAATACTTGGTTCTTTATTTTTAAAATAGCCCAAGGACCTGGAACCGATTTAGAGTTGAAACTGTAACCCATTCTCCAGGATTAGATTCCGGTTCATCTTCCCCCACTTGAAACCGAAAATTGAATTGACTTAGGTCCATGCCTACTTTCAATGACTGGAGTAAGTCAAACTGCTCTTGCACCACCCGACCAGGCAGGCAGGCACAGAAACTAATCGCTCATATAAGAGATTGAGCCCCAACTCGACACCCTCATGGCTCATACCCATGGAGGTAGGATGATCGATGCACCCATAGAAGAAATTAGGAGTATGATAACTCTGAAAAGCGGTGGATTCATGCCTTGTGCAATCAATATCATAAGGAGAGAGCCATTAATGTTAGCCATGGAACAAACAGTGGCTTTGGCTGTTGAAAAAATAAAACCCTAGACATGCAGAGAACAATCCACTGAAAACCATCCTTTTTCTGTAACACTGACCCAAATATGAGCAGTGACCTCAAACCCTGAGGTTGGAGGACTGCAACACCATTAAGGCATAGAATATTGCTAGACACTACTCTCAAGCATATATTACTCCCTCTGTCCCATTAGAAGGTTCTCACTTTCCTTTTTTGGACGTCCCGTTAGAAGGTTTTTATTTCCATTTTAGGAAACAATTAACAATCTTAAGTGACAAATTCATCATTAAATATTAAAAACAATAATTTATAACATCAAAGTTATCAATACTAACTACATTATAATATATATCTATTAAAATTATTTCTGAAAATATACTTGAATTACTTTAATTAATTATTGCCTAAATAACCGTGCCGTTTTGCCATGAGAACCTTCCAACGGGACGGAGGTAGTAGTTACTAAATCCTAGTGAAAAAACACATTAATCTTTCTTTGATTTTGTGGCCAATAAGGCATGCAACTATGCACTATTTGTTTTGTCATATAATACACACAAAGGTTGGTTCTTGGCCCAAGCCACTTCTGTGTGTTGGGGGGCTTAATGAGAGATTTGAGCCTATGACCTCACACACAAATAACCCAAATGAGGGGTGTGGATTTATTTCCTAATTTAGAGAATATTTACTGCTGTATATTGATCTAATTTCGTATCAATACCAGATCTCATGTATTTTATTCTTTCTAGAAATAGGATATTCTATTGTCTAAATTAGCATTTTTTTTTACTCCGTAGGGGTCTGGGGAAGCCTGGAGTAATCTAGGCTGAAACTCACTCCATTGAGTTTCGAACCCCAGACCTCCCGTAAGGGAGAGTGAGTCGGCGACCAGCTGGGCTGGACCGCTTCCTCAGTCTAAATTAGCAGATTATATAGTTAATGTCTTAAATTCTCTCCCCAATAGGTTGTATAAATATCCTGCGATTCTGAGATATTAAATCATTACAAATATTCGGAATTTCACATGGTATCAGAGCTCTAGTTTTCCTAGGGTTTCTGTACTGCTCTTCTGATTGTGCCCATCTCTTGTCTATCATGGCTCACGAAAACAACAGCTCCATCTCAGGGGCAACCTCTAAAACACCCTCATCAATTCTTTCTGCCTCTCCTCAAATAAATGAAGCTGTCTCTCTCATTACCAGCCACAAATTCAATGGACACAACTATCTCCAATGGTCTCAATCAGTGATGATGTACATTGGTGGAAAAGGAAAGGAAGAGTATCTTACTGGTGAAACATCAGTTCCAAAGAAAGATGATCCTCTCTTCAAAACTTGGAAGTCTGATAATCATATGATTAAGTCATGGTTCATAAGTTCTATGAATAATGATATAAGGGAAAACTTTCTATTATATGCTACGACAAAAGAATTATGGGATGCTGTCACAGAATCCTAATGAAGATCGGAGAATACTTCTGAGCTTTTTCTATTGAGGCAGCCTTGCACGATCTCCATCAAGGTGATACCTCTGTCACTCAATACTTTAACACTCTCACTCGTTATTGGAAGCAGTTGGATCTATTTGAAGAACATGCTTGGAAGTGTTCCATTGCGGAGAAAAAGATAACTTTCAAAGTCGAATCATGAGTACCAAGACCCTACCTAAGGTACAAGAAGCATTTTCTGAAGTCCGCCGTGAAGAAAGTATGAAAAAGGTTACAATGGGCTCCTCAATTCTATCTCCAAATCTGGAATCTTCTGCCCTTGCTGCCCGTGGACAGACTCAGGGAGCGAATCTTGATAATCATCAAAATAAGGGAAGCCGCCCTTGGTGTGACCACTACCGAAAACCTGGACACTACAAAGAAACATGCTGGAAACTTCACGGGAAGCCTCAAAATTTGAAACCAAAGGCGGGGGGTGATCGTTTCAGTCACGGGAATGTGGCTGCCACGTCGAATTCAGCTGTGAGAGAGTTAAATGATGTGCCTGAATCAGCTCCATTCACTAAAGCTCAACTAGAGGTTCTTCAGGAACTTCTGAATCAATACTCCACTCAATCGGCATCTACGCAGGATACTGGAATGTTGGCTATGGGAGGTAATAAATGAGTTGCTTGTTTTGTCAATAGATGCACTGACAAATCCTGGATTCTAGACTCCGGATCTTCATATCACATGAGCGGAGATGCATCTATTTTTTCTGAGTTTCATCCGAACAAAGGAAATCATACGGTCAAAATTGCAGATGGCTCACTTTCTCAAGTTGAGGGTTCGGGTTCAGTCAGAATAACAAAGGACCTAACTCTCAAATCTGTGCTTTATGTGCCTAAATTAGTAAATTTAGGCACATATATTTACTTTCAATCAGTAAATTTACCAGTGAACATCATTGTGTGACAAAATTTTTCTCAAATCTTTGTGTATTTCTGGATTTGAACTCAGGGAAGAGGATTGGCAGTGCTAAGATGTGTTCCGGATTGTATGTTCTACGTGATGAAGTCTCATCCACTAGCATAAACCAAAAATTCAGTTTTCTTTCTTTGAATAGTCAGCCAGTTTCTTTGTCTAATAAAGATAGTGATATCATGTTATGGCACTATCGTCATGGTCATCCAAATTTTTTGTATTTGTCAAAACTGTTTCCTTCTCTATTCTTGAATAAAAATCCAAGTTCTTTTTGT